TAGATCTCACTCTATGCTTGTTTGTTATTATTCATTTGCAGGGGTGATACATCCTGCAATCTGCCGATTCTGTGATTCTAAAAAACTTATCAAAGGGATAAGATGGAAGTGCAGAGAATGTCCCATCTGCGATCTATGTACAGAGTGTTACATGTCTGACAAAGATGATCCAAAACATCGCTTTGAACGAAGAGAAGACACACATCAGAGGTTAAAAAATATATTCTCATTCTACATTCCTAAAAATTTCTTATTTTTTAAACAAAAATGAAATTCAGCAATTCAAATGTAAGTTTCTCTTTAAAAGGAAGCCAGAGCCGGATTTCAGGAACGTAATGAAGGGGATGTCCCCTTGTTTTCTTCAAAGTAAATAACTCTTACCGTTAAAATATGTTCATTAAAAGCCCTGCTGTCCCCCACCCTACATTCACTCACAAGTAGACTGTTTTTTTTGCCCCCTCTTTCAGAAACAATACTACTACGAGTGGATTCTGCATCTTCAGACTTTTAATTTGTTTAAGAAATTTTTCTTTGTTAAAATATTCATGTGTTCAATTTGAAAGATATAAACATGGTAGAATCAACGTATTATTGGAAATCCTTTACTGGCATAATCATCAGAAAGATTTTTTTTTACACTGGGGCACCTCTAAGATTTCCTGTCTTAAAAAAACATCTTTACTTTTATTCCTGTATTTCACAAAGTGATTCAATATACCGTTTTTTCGGTACAATGTCTGCCTCTATTTGTTCGCTTACAGAACACATGCATTGCAGCATGATAAAATTACATTGTACATTAAAATCAAACACGACAGATGCTCAAGAAAATTAAGCTTGACATAAATAAAATAGTAAACAAGGCAATGAGTGGGTAATAGTGTTATTAAAAGAAAGAATTTGATTAAAATCAAAACAAAAATAAATTTTGAAAGGCGTACACACCTTACTTTAGCATTTTTAGGAAACGCCAGAAAGCATTGTATTCTCCTTATTTGAAGGATTTTATATGGCAAAAATTGTATATATATTTCAAGTAACAAAAGTTTACAAGCAAAACTGCTAAGCATCTATCGTTCAGATACCGTTTAACTTAAATTTATGGCTACTATTGTTATTGAATTTAATACGATGCTAAACTGTTGAAAAAATAACAAAAATGATTTTCTTAAAGATTAGTACATTTTGTACCCACCAGTTTTTTTTAAAAGAAATTTTACAAATTACAGAACAAATCTACATTCAACTAGACATGAAAGTGCTCAAAGATCAAAGAAAAAGAAAGCAGTTGGAATTTTTAAAGGCTCAAAGGTGTTTATGCCGGAAGAAACGGGTAATCATTTGCTTCAGAAAAAACGTTGCCTGCGTAAATATAGTCATTTACTTAATAAGAAAATGCATTATTCGACGTGGGATGCCAACTCCTTGATAGCATTTGATCCAGCCTGTGTTTTGTGTTTTAAAACGTCTTGGCTCTGTATACAGTTTAAATTGTTTAAATGTACTTTAAAGCAATATCACTCTTTTTTTATTTCACATTACTTTGTAAGCATTAAGAATTAATATGCTTTTTAAAATTGCAAAAACATGTCTCAGAGATATAAATTAGCTTTTGCGTCTTGGAAAGGTAGCTTGTCTCAATAAAAACTCAAACTTGGTGAGTATCTGTAAATATATACTAGTACTGAGTATTATTCTTTTTGTATTCTTTTAAATGTAAATATTATCTGTGAAGTCGCTATATCTAGGGATCTAGGGATTTATCCCGTAAAAGGGCTATATTTATATCGAATGAATAATCTATACATAAGAACGTCATGCAAAGTGTTTGAAAAGTGCTTTCAATGGCAATTTAAGCAAAGAGAATCTTTAAAAGTAGGTCCTCATTCAATTCAATCATTAGAATAATCTCTAATTATTTAATTGTACTTGTATCTAGCAGTTTCATTGGCTGAATCATTCAAAGGAACATATAATATTTTGTATAACATAACTTGCCTTCGTCACATTGAGTTACGTCAAAAACGTATTACTCCGCCTGACGTTACTTTTGAAATATGCTACATTTGAAGCCTTTTTCCAGAGGTAAAATTGTCTCATTGTCTACACTGAAATTAAATTATAAGGAATGAAGCTAATTTCAACTTATGTTATACCATATCCTTACGATATAACATAACTTTGGGCAGTTTACGATTTTTTGGAAGCGTAAACTGCCCCACGTTAGCTTGTTCTTTATTTTTGAATCTCGCTCAACCTTTTGCGTAAAAGAGACCTAATTGTGAGAAAAAGACAAAGTTGACAATCAGAGAAAAAAAAGCGATCGTGTTACAAAATTTAATGGTATAAATTCGTCGTGTTTAAACAGATTTGTTGGATCGATGAAGGCTCAACAGAATTAAGTTAAGTGTGCCCCATATTTTCACGTAAAATCCAATATGGCGGCAGCGCAGATGTAACCCCACATTACCTCCACAATTTAATGCATGGAAAGTAAAATTAGGTTTTACACGTCTTTGTAACTTATATTCATTTATTGGATTCAAAAGTCAAAAGCAATAATAAGTTTTAGGGCGCCGAAGTTAAATTAATATGAAAAAAGAAATTGTTTAGAATCAAATCAGGGATAAGATCTAATACATTTTATCGGTAAACGGTAAAAGTCCTATTACTCAAAATATTTTTGATGAAAACTGCATTAATATACCTCAGTTTAATACAGTACATGTTTTATTTCAAACGATGGAAAGCTATTTAAAACACCTAAAATCCAGCAGTATTATGTAAATAATATTGAATGAATGTCTGTGATTACATAACTGGTACCGGACATAAACCGTGATCGTAAACAAACCATACAACGAATAATCGAATTGCTGATAAACAGTATCATAGTCCTACTTTACCTCTTACAATTTAAAACTTTCTTTGAAATATTTTTTTATACAAATAAGCCTTTGACGCCAATTTCAAAATCGTATTATGTGGACAAAAAGCACGACTATTCAGTTCGTTAAACATTCTATATTCTGACGTCATTTTCGGAGTTATTACGTCATAAAATTATAACGAGACGTCTCAAATATACGTATATTTTCCAGATCTTTCCAATATTATTAAACTAAATAATTTTCGTAAAATGGTGAATTTCTTTATTAAATAGTTGCCAGAACTTTTGAAATAACCCTCGTACGCACCTTGATACGTCAAGATCCTGAAAAGACACTCTACAAAACATACACTCTATTCTTTCATTTCGCTGTCTCAAAAGAAAAGAAATATTTGGCTAACCTAAAAACAAAATTAGGCAAACCTGATATCATGTTCAATATCCATATGTGGTGTTATAGTGGCTGTTACATAATTGTTGACAACTTACACGAACAATCACGTTACACGAACGATTCCGCACGATTAACGCACGATTAAACCTGTTACACGAACAATCTTTCACGTTCACAATTCTACACGTTACACGATCTTACACGATTGTTAACGCAAACGCACGATTCTTCACTCAAAATAATTCAAAATATTTAGGAATCAATATTTTCAAAGCGAAATACGGCTTAATACTTATTTAAGATTTCAAAGAATTATCAATATCATTTCATAGACTTTGAAGGAAAAAAAAAACGGAAAATGATATTTCTGTAACTAAAAATATGCAAGGCTTAATATTTTAGATCTAAAAAAAATATTTCTATGGTAATTCTTCAAAAAAAAAAAAACCAGATTTTGTTCGTTCTGTTAGACATTTAAATGTATGTGGGTCGTATAATTTGATTGAATTGGACATCATGATATCCAGAAAGGGGGATACGATTGAACAAAAATGGCAGCATGGAATGACTTAAATTATAATTACAAATTTTATACTTATATTTCTAATGATTGAATGTCTGATAAACTTGCCAATTATTCAACTTTTCTATTTGCAGAAATTTAAAATTAATTAATTACAAATAGGTTCAAGAGATAAACAAAGATAATCAAACCCTCCGAAAATCATCTCGTGTGCATGTATATTCGTCGACTTAATATTTATGTAAGCATTGAGAAATGTTTATGTATTTGTAAAAAAAATATATATATTTATTTTCAATGAATTGATTTCAAGATTATCTTGACCACAATAAGAAGTAAATAATAATTAAAATCAGATTTTTAAAAAAGGCATTAAAGATCTAAGTACGGTTTATCAAAATATTGATCGCGCTTTTTGACGAGAACTTAATATTGTAAGACTTACTATATTGTTTACGGGCGATAATTAGTTCGTTCTGCATTCTATTATGTAAATTGCGCTTTTTGATTTTATTTGGATTTTAATTAATAAATTAAGAAAAACAAACAAGGGAAATGCTTATTTTACAAATAGCATTCCGATAAAAACTTAAAAAACGAAATTTACACTATTCTACCCGCACGATCTCGCACGAATAATAACGTACACGATTGAGTCTGATACACGAACGATCTTGCACGTTACACGAACGATCACTCACGATACACGAACGATTCTACACGATTGGTTTGTCAACAATAACGTTCCTGCCACTGTATCTGTATAATTAAATAATTTAAAAATTTTAGATCAATGTACATATTTCCATTCTTTTAAGGTTTTATGTTTTCTTTTTTAATATTTTAGATTTACATTTATTTCAATTACAAAGATATGCTGTACTTTTTTCCTTGTACAAAATCTAGAATATGTATACCATCTTGCCACATATAATTCAATCATCATCGACTTGAAAAATGCATTATTATGTATTTACATGAAATAGGTAGTTCAGTATACTGTTCGAACTGTAATATGTAAGTTACACAATCTGCTTTTGTAATCACATGAACTACGACATTTGGTACAATCCAGTATGATACGATAAAAATGCATTTTATTGAATCTTTTCAAATTTTTATCTTTATAACAAAAGAGAAAATTGGAGTTGTGGAGAAAATGTGTAAATATATGGCCAGCGTTGCTAGAAGTGCAGTTAGACTTGAAGGGAAAGGAAAACAAAAAATGAAAATCATACAACTGAAAAGTTTGAACTTAAAACAACAGACAACGTACTATTATTTTCCTGACCACCTACCAGATCTTGGAAATGGTATGGATAACTGCATTAAACTTATTGAGGTTTATTCTTGAAATCTTTTTAGTTAGACTGCAGTCGCGTTAATCGTATCATTTCTTGCAGATACTTGTGGATATATCAAAATTAAAGACAATGTGGACGAAAAAAAGAAGGTAACCAAATTATTTTTTTTTTCATATGTCATGAATGTCAAACAAAACTAAAATAGAGTTTGCCTATATACGAGATGTGTTTAGATTTAATGACAACATACCGCAGAGGCGACATTTGGACGTACAGCAGTTTCTCTTGCCATGGACATGCTACAAATGCGTATGCCATAATGTCAGGTGGTGCAAGAGATTAACATCAGTAAAAGCGGCAATAAGATGTTAAGGGAACAGTTTTCAGAATACATAGAGAGAGAGAGAGAGAGAGAGAGAGAGAGAAAGAGAGGAAGACCTTGTAGTGACAGGCAATAAAGTGCGACTGTTCGTCAGGATCGCGAAATTGCTATTGGCAAAAAGCAATTGGTTTATGTCTTATAAAGCCTTGAATAGGAAATAAACAATGATCATGAGTTTTATACAGCTTCTCAGACTTTAAGAAATGGGAGATTTTGCATGCCCACAAGCCAGAAGTTCATTCTCGTTTGACTGTAAGACACTGCAAAACTTGATTTGATTTCAGCAGCAACCATGAACATTGACTACTACGCCACTTGTGACCTGTTCTGTTTATAGATAAATCCTTGTGTTTGTGGTTTTTCAGGATTATTGCTTTGCTGATTACACTTTTTTCGTGACGCCTCTGTCACAGTAAGGGGGGGCATGTGTTTCGATGACCTTTCAGAACTCTTCCATTCGCAATGGTCCTTTTACTGGTCTTAGATAGAGATATTTTATTCCTCACAACTTATTCGTTTTTGTTTCTGGTTCTATTAGTCAAGATTTTTTTTTGTCGGGAATGATTAACTAAACAACACAGGGTTCGAATTGTTGAACAAATTTTTGTTGATGAAATAATTGAACAAATATAATTGCCGTCACGTTAGCCCAATTTTAACCCAATAGAACACAATCGGGATTTTCTTCACCGACATGTACAGCAGCGCGATGCACCTCCACCTGGTTTATGAGACTCTATACAGGGAAACATTTTAACTTTTAATGGAATCAATTTTCTTGGTTTTGTAATCAATGCATTCTGAAAAAATAGATATACTGTGATATATAATTAAAATCCTTTCACATGTATAGTTGCCGATTTATTCCCATTAACCAAAAAAAATCTATCATCCTTAACTTTTTTTTAGTTGAGTATATACCTTATAAAATAAATTGAAATTAATTTGGTGTATGAACTAATCATGCCCACTTTTACGACTTCTATTTCAAGAAATATTCAGAAAGCTTCTTTGATTTTCCCTGCAGATTATTGTGAAATGCTGGTTTCTTGACAAAGATACCCCAAGACTGCGAGAGGAAAGACCAAGATTATTAATCATTTTTGCAGACAACTCCAATATTGACAGTAACACGGAAAAGAGGATCAAAGAAATTCGATATATTTCAAGTAAATGTCTTCTACAATGTATTATGTTTTGTTTAGTTATTTGTTTGATATCTAGCGTCCCTTTCGAGAATTTTTCACTTATATGGCGATTCCACCACTTGCCGGTGGAGAGCTGCAGATTTTGACCTATACTAGTCTTGTCACTCAGGGCTTTTGAGCAGTGAGGGATCTTTTTCGTACCAGCATCTACTGCGACACTGACCTCGGTTTATCCGGTCAAATCTAAAGGGTTGATCTCCACGTCCCACTGTGGAATTCGAACGCGCGACGTAAGGGTATTTCCTTCCTTACTCCATAATTGTAGAGAACACGCTCTATAATAATCAAGTTGTATATTTTATTGACAAAAGTCATAAACATGTATACGAGGGTTGATCCAAAAGTTCGTGGAATTTCTTTGTAAAATTTTAACGTGATTTAATGAAAGCAAACAACAGGCATATTCATAATATAAAGGCATAATGCAACAATATTGGAAAATTTCACCACTAACCAATTACAAATAAGGTCATACGAGCTTTCTGAAACTGGATAGTTGTGAAACCCGGGGGAGACTTCGACGTAACGTCATCAGATGTGTCACGTCACGTTATAGAAGCATCTCGTTCTTATGTTGAATTCGAGTAGTGGTAAAATACAAAATGCTGTCCTTCTCTCGATTTTTTTCCCAAGAAAAGCCTGGGTATCCTCTCGCACCAACTTATCTTCATTTTTTTACTCCTATGTCAAAAAAATATCAATCTTTCCCTATGATGTTCCAATTTTAGTAGCAATGTCAAAAACAGTACGGCATCCGATAACATCCACTAACGCTTTTAATTTGTCTAGGAGGATACACACTTAAAACAGAGCCTAAAAAACCGACCACACCTTTAATCAACTTCCATGGAAGTTTTATTTTTCTGAAATTTCTTTTGCCACTTGAAAACCTGTAACTAAATGCATTTTCCCAAATCTATGTCAATAATATACGCATTTAAGATAGAGAGATCCCGTGATTTTCACGAAAAGGATGACTTGACCGAACTTTGAAGCTGTTTAACAACTTAAAGATGAACAATAAATCATCAACTTATTAACTAAATATCTAGTAAAATCAGTAAAACTCAACCACAGATGTTTATAAAAGATCAAACAATCATTAGAATGATATTATTTTCGTTTCATATACCACATAGCGCTGTTTTATTCTGATTTCATGTGTTAAGAATTAAAATGATAATAGACGAATTAATGTCTCCCCCGCATTTCCAAACAACCGTTTCTATGGCAACTGCCATAGAGTTACTATCAAAGATATTTAAATTGTTTTTTAGTTTAGAATATTCATCAAGTGTCTATATTTTCATTTGTTATTTTCAACCAATTCCACTTAAAAATAAATAAAATATGAAGAAATTCCACGAACTTTTGGATCAACCCTCGTATTTTATTTCTTTTCTTTTCTATAGAGACCAATAAAATACCATGTCATATGCTAGCAGAAAAGATACTTTTCTTTGAAGACATGGTTGTAGTGCATAAAGAGACAACAAAAGAAATCATGAAGGTAAACTATAGCACAATCAAGGTATACCTTATATTTCAAAGACAAAACTCTGTTTATAGAAGAAATTGTCAAAATAATACTGATATATATTTTTAAATAATTAATCATTGCGTTATTTAGTTGAACTATTGATATATATGCATGAAAAAAACAACAATATATACATATTAAACAGCTAACACAATAATCAAAAGATGAAATCACTTTGTTTCATCTTTTAAGCTTACCTGAGCCGTCAGTCAGTGTGTCTCTCCGTCCGTCCGTCTGTAAACTTTTCACATTTTCATCTTCTTCTCAAGAACCACTGGGCTAATTTTAACCAAAATTGATACAAAGCAGTCTCGAGTGAAGGGAAGTTTAAAGTGTTAAAATGAATGGCCCTTCAAAGGGGAGATATTCTGGAAAAGGCAAAAGTAGGGTGGGATAATTAAAAATCTTCTTCTCAAGAACCACTGTGCCAGAAAAACTGAAATGGAGTGGAAGCATCGTGTGGTAGTGTAGATTCTAAATTGTTCAAAACATGACCCCCGGGGGTAGGGCCGGGTCACAATAGAGAATCCAAATTTTTCATTTCAAAAGGTAGATTTTTTTTTGGAAAAAAAAAATTCTTCTCAAGAGCCACTGGGTCAGAAAAACTGAAACTAATGTAAAGTATTCTGGGATAGTGTACACAAAAAAATCGTTCACCTTATGACCCCCGGGGGTAGGAAGGGTCCATAATGGGGAATTCAAGTTTTACATTGAACTATGTTGATTTTTTTTCTAAATCTTCTCATGAACCACTGGGCCGGAAAAGCTAAAACTTATTGGGAAGCATCCTGGGATAGTGTAAGTTTCAAATTACTATGAAATCACTAATTTTCGAGGTGGGGGGTTAATTTTCCTTGTTTTTGAGTATGGTGTGACCCAAGAGGTTATGATCTCCACGAAATGTAAACTTTTATATACATAACTACTTAACTTTTTTCAACCACGAAATCTAGTCCCCATATACCGATATTTTTTCTCATACCCTAACAAAAAAAAATACTTTAGTAAACTATAGTTAACTATTGTTAACAAAGTAAACTATAGTTAATTAAAGTTCCAAAATTTTCACCAAAGTAAATCAAAGTTCCAAAGTTTTCACCAAAGTAAATCAAAATTCCAAAGTTTTTACTTTTGTACTATAGTTAACTATAGCAAACTAAAGTTAACCATAATTTACTATAGAATTTTTTTTAGGGAACCTCGAAAATTTGACCTCACGATTTTACAGTATATAAATAATGACCCCCGGGGTACAGTGGGTCAACAATAAGGAATCCAAGTTAAACATTAAAATATATGGGTAAAATCTTTTCACATCTTTTTCTCAAGGATCACTGAATCAGAAAAACTGACAGTTATGAGAAAGCATCCTGAGGTAGTATAGATTTTAATTATTTGAATCATGACTCCTGGGGGTAGGGTGGACCACAATAGGTATTATAAAATGGAAATCTGGTGAATAACAGTAGGGCCAAAGTTGCTCGGGTGAGCGTTGTGAAACATGGGCCTCTTGTTTGTTTAAGTTATCTGATATGACTGATGACAATGAAACAGTTTCAGGATAAACTTTCGAGATCGAGAAATGTGTTTGACATATAAATTTTGAAATTTGAATACTTTTTTTGAAGATTTTGCTGGATATGGATGGCATCTTATTGAACAGAGGAGATACTGACAATAGTGAAGAGGAAATTATCTATTTCAAACGAATGGCTGAATGTAAGAGTATAGACGATTGAAACAAACAAAAAATGTCTGTTTTACAAGATTTTCTCTATAAAAATCGGCTTTTAATAGAACAAATCTCAATTCAGTGCTAATGAACAAAATACTGAGCACCAAATCATACATTGTTCTCGTGGAATAAATGTCAGGACATGTTAAAAAGAAATCAGTTTTAAGTTTGTAGCTTGCAAGTTTACACCCCAATCTTTCAGAATTATTCTTTTGGCAGAGCCATAGACAATGCCTTTGTGACACATTAAAAGTCAAGAAGAAAAATTGACAGCAAAGTACTCAAAATTAATTGTTTAATGAACCGAAGCATTTTATAATTATCCAATCAATATATATTTTTCAAGTAAGGTTTAATTGCAAAGATAAAGATACATGTAAGATATGCCGATATTCTCCAGAAATAGCTTGAATCTTTTTGAAATATTTTTATTGAGGATTAATTAACTTAACAAACAAAGATGTTATTTAAGCATGCAGGGGCTAGACACATTCTAAAAAACATGATTTGTTCTATTGTTCCATTTTATGAGCTTTTAGCACGGGGGTATAGCAAAGACGTAGATCGACTCAAGTACCGTTTAATGACATTTTATAAAGAGAATTAATGTTTTACAAACTATGTCATGAAATCACTTTAAAACTACATGTAGTTCTTCTTTTCATATTCCGACATTTCAAATCGTTTGTTGTTATTTAAAGCATATAAAAATTCAAATTATTCGTTTATAGATTGAATTGATGAAAAACAAAATACATTGGACTACAAATACTACATTTACCAATTTCTTAGTTCACCCTACTTGCTTTTTACCTCTGGCTCAGGTTTTTTGGCATACTGGGCATTGATGTCACTAATTCCCCATATAAGCTTGATTGAAGCAACAGTTCCCGTTCAGAAGTTTTTTCTATAGAAAAATTTTCTATATATATATATAAATTGCTTGTTTATGCCATGCTTTTTTTTAAGCAACAGTTCCCGTTCAGAAGTTTTTTCTATAGAAAAATTTTCTATATATATATATAAATTGCTTCAGGTTTATGCCATGCTTTTTTTTAGTTAACTTCACTCATCTTTACTTCTTGATTATTGCATTCTACAAAAAAATTATGTCCATTATGTCCATTGTCTTCATAAAACTTTTGTAAATGCGTTGTCTTCCTAATTTATTTTCACAACTTCTTCTTCTCAAGAACCAATGAGCTAATTTCAACCAAACTTAGCATAGAGTGTCCTTGTGTTAAGAAGATACAGGTTTGTTCTTTCCAAGGGAGATAATTAAAAAGTAAAAATTCGGTTGGGTCCTTTCAAAATCTACTTTTCATGAACCTCTGGGCATGAAAAGATAACACATTTGAGAAAGCTTCTTGAAAAAGAGTTAATTGAAATTTGCTCAATTCATGACCGCTTAGCGTTTTATAAAACATAAACTACCAAAACCCAGGTTATACCGTATGACTTTGGTAACTATTAAATTCAGTTATTTGACTGGGTTCTGAGCACAGGTTGTAGTGGAGACCTTTGTTTACCTGTGATCATCTCATTGAGGAATGGGAAAATGAAGGACAGTATTCAAAAAACTGCCGCAGATGAAGGAATTCCTGTCATTTCCTTTACGGTTTGTATCTTAGATAACATATTTTCAGTGTTAGGCAAAAATGTTTTATCTGGATGTATATACGGGTTGGCATGTGATCAAATCTACCATAAAGCCCTTCAGGATTTATCGCAGTTAATCACATCACATGATCAGTTGATCAGTTTATAATGTGACCAACCCGTATTTGCATCCCAAAAAAGTTTAAAAAAAACATACTCATTTTATTGAAGGCCCCCTGTTTCATGGGAATTGTGTAACATGCGGTTATTTGTTTTTCTGCTGTCGTCCCTCTTAAGAACTTTTCATTCATATGGAAATCCCATCACTTGCAAGTTTTGGTCTATGCTTGGTACTCACGGCGATTGAGTAGTGGGAATTTTCTCATGCCAGCACCTAATGCGACAAGGGACTTTGGTTTATATGGTATCATCTGAAGGACAAGTCTCAACTTTCCACGGTAGATTTTGAACGTATTAATTAAGGAGAACTCCTTACGTAGCGCCTATAGAGCTTACACTCTTACAACTGCGCCACGCGGGAGACTAACAGTCAATTAAAGTAAATGGTAAAGATAAAAAGGAGAAGCAAAACAATTCAGTTTAAGACACTTCAAATTTTTCAATCAGTAGATAGCAATATTTGTTAGAGAGCGGATTGAGTTCTTAAAATTATTTTTGTTAAATATTTATATATTCAACAACAAAATTTCTAGAGTTAGGTAAATAGTTATTTAAACATATCAAGCATTTATTATAGTGTAACTATAGTTTACCATAGTAAACTATTGTGTATTTTTTTTCAGTTCTGTTCACTTAAAAATTATTACATTCTTGAATAAAATATAAAAAAAATACATTTGATACCATTGTATAAGCATAATGTGAAACAAATGAGTTTTGAAATTTAAGAAAGAAAACATTGTTATATAATGAGATATTTCTGTGAAAAGAAAATTTTCCACAGAAGAAAACTGGAAAATTTATATCATCGTTAGTGAATAATGATACTTGCGCTGATATGCGATATTAATTACAAACATACATAGTAATGGTTCAATATTTGCAGAGGGGCATAAATTACAATTAATCTTGAGGATAGATTTAATGTTTTGTGTCATTATTCCTAGACATTTTAGTATATTATTGTTAAATTTGAATATCGTATTTTAGCAAGAATGTGTCGATGCAGTAGTTATCACATATCAAGTGCAGAAAACATCAGAAAGCAACTTTCATCTTAGTGCAAAAGAACACGTATTTGATATTAAAACTCCGTGGGCAAGAAAAAGAGTTAAAAACACAGATGTTAGCAGAAAAACGGATCAAAATGAAATTGAAAGCATAGAAGAGCTGCGCTACCTAAGCAACTTCTCTTTTGATGTCTTGGTGTGTTATTTGTTGATTGGGGGTAAGTTGTTACATTTTTGCACACTACATGGAATTGTTATCAATGTTATTTCAATTGATAATGGAGCGAAGTAAAAAGAACCCTTCGTGAAATGCAAAGATTAGTTAAGCTATAATTTGTCTATTTTTATAACTTCCAGGTGTTTTTAAGAATGCTTTATCTTATAATGTGATTTATGTTGAAAATTTTCATTGCAAAATATCATTTTTAATGTACCGTAGCGCCAAAATAAGCAGAGTATTGACCCCCATTTTTTTTTTATTTTTAGGTCACCTGAGTAAACTCAGGTGACCTATTGCTATCTGTTTTTGTCCGATGTGCGTCTTGCGTCGTGCGTTAACATTTAAACATTTTCAGCTGCTTCTCTGAAACAACTGAATCAATTTCAATCACTTTTGGCATAAAGCATCTATGGGTGAAGGGGAACAAAAATTGTTAATTTCATGGTCTCTGCCCTCCTGGAGCCTGCAGGGTGGGGCAAAAACAACTAAAATTAGTGCATTCTTTAAATATCTTCTTCTTTACTCCTGGACATCAAGGAGTCAAACTGTTGGTGTGATTGTAATCAACATTGAGTCCTCTACCAAAATTGTGAAATTCATGACCCCAGGGTCAGAGGTTCTAGTGCTAGGGCGGGGCTCTATTGATTATATAGTGAAAATGCATTAATTTTTCGAAAATCTTCTTCTCTGTTCCCGAGTATTAAATAAACTAATTACGTATATAGTTATGATGAGCAAGAGTGCCCCTACCAAAATTGTGAATTTTATGGCCCCAGGGTCAGGGGTTCTGGTGTTAAGGCGGTGCTCTATTGATTATATAGTGAAAATGCATTTATTCTTTGAAAAGCTTCATCTGCTTCTGGGTATTAAATAAACCAATTAAGGACATGATGAGCAAGAATGCTTCTACCAAAATTGTGAATTTTATAGCCCCAGGGTCAGGGGTTTTGGTGTTAGGGTGTGGCTCTATAATGATTATAAAGTGAATATACATAACATCTATGAATTTTTTCTCTACTCCTGAGTAATAATCAGATGAACTGTTTATATGGTTATGATGTGCAAGGGCTTTTCTTCCTGAATTGTGAATCTCAAGGCCCCTGGGTCAGGGATATCAAAGAGGGGGGGGGGGCTTTACTTAAAAACTTAAAATGAATTGTTTGAAATCTGCTCCTTGGTATTAATCAAACATTTTTTATAAGCAAGTGTGCAGTTTCAAAAATTGTGCACTGTGTAGTTCTAGGGTCAGTGGTTCATTTGTGGTAGGGGCACTCCTGATTAGTGCTGAATATTACTGATTAATAGTTGACATGCATTTTTGTTCCTTTACCCTGCTAATGGGTATTGAGTAAAGAAACTAAACATTTGCTAAGTGTATAGTTATGATTAGCAATTGTGCCTCTTTCAAATTTGTGAATGCCATAGCATCTAGCTAAAAACATGAACCAAATTCAATCATTTAAAAGTTGTTGCATGGTGCTCAGGTGACCTTTAAGGCCAATGGGCCTCTTGTTAATTAAGCTATAAGTCTAGATACTAGAAAAGTATTTCAGAAAAATTCTTTAAGCTTGATAGCAGGATCCAAATTTCTTAAGAAGCACTGTACCCTCGCCCTTCAGTGACGAATCCTCAACTGCACCTTACATCCACGTAGTCCAACATATCTTTTGTTTTTTTAATGACATATGAATTAGCGGTTTTAAATTTTTAACTTACAATAAGTTATGTAAATATCAATCTAGTATGATGTGAATGTATTGAATAACAGATCCTGTTTGACACCTAAAGTTAACTTTCTGGGACTCTTTCTAAAGACATTTTGCAGCCATTTTTATATCTTATTTAAAGCAATCTGTTATAATACCTCACATAAATATAAATGTTTCTTTTCTTCTCTAAAAAATTCACTAATTGCTTCATCTGACAATAGTTGGCTCAGTTAATTTTTCAGACTTAATAGGAGGACAATAGTTATAATAATATATTTTATATGCAATAGAAACAAGACCTGAACATGGCTACACCATGGTTGTGTAATAGTGCCATATATAAGATCATTAAAATGTCGTTTTGAAAACAATTGAATCAGAGAAATCTAGTCAATTGGAAAATATTCATCTGTGTACCCTTCGAAAAACCATATCACTGCTAAATAGTTGCCTTATGTCCTGCTCTATATACAGTTACAAGTCAATTGATATTTTTCTACAATTTGGCTTTATTTAACTTACACAAATGTGTCTGCTAACTCTAGATTCCTTATATTACGCGAGTATTGAATGGCGCAAATTAAATGATGTCGACTTCAAATTGAGACAACAAGAATATACAAGTGTGGTTTTTGAAATATTTTACATATATTTCAGCAAAAGAAGAATAGAGGCGAGCATATTTTTGCAAAATTGGTATATGTATCCTACGTTACATTAAGCGATAATAAAGCACACGTTTGAGAATCTTCAGTATTTCAGAATATGTTAACATGGTGCTAAAAGTGTAATATGAACTTAATAAAAATATACCATGCCAGGTGAATTTTATTAGGAAAAGCTAAATGGTAAAAATCAGCCTATGTGATATTGCTAATTTTGTGTCATTTTGATCTCCCTCTTAAAATTCACCTGGCGTAGTATAATTTTTCTATGGTTCATATTACACTTTTTAGCGCCAGTATAACATATTCTGAAATTTTTTTTCACCTGTAAACCTTTACTGAATGTGATTTGTCTATATTTGTTTTTTATTGAAATATTACTAATATTTTCCAAGTCTATTTCATTTTCCAGTTCTTAGGAGAAAAAATTCTAAGAACCATCCACTTTTCTTAATTTGTGACATGTTATTAAATCTTTTTCAAAGAAAAAAATTGTTTGTATCATCTGTCTTTAAAGATTAAAGTATTTAACCAAGGAGTTACAACTTTAGTGCAGATCGTCAAATCAATTGTTCTTTTTGGAAATATAGATGCACAGTGACCATAAATAGTTTTTTTTCTGCAAAGTTACTAGCATTTTACTCTAGGTCGTGCACTTAAGACAGTATTTTTTTTTCAATATATATAAATTTTAAGTTCAAATAAAAAAAAACAATTGGATATACTATCGTTAACGCACTAGTGTTATTATAACAGTAAGATAACAGGTTATTTTAAGCTTTTTTCTTACAACAGAATAATGAACAGAACGCATTTGTTTTAAATTTCAGTATCAATGGCAGATCCGAAAAAGAAACCTTATGTACGTATCCAATTGATTATACGATGTAGATGAGTAAGGTATATGATGTTTAAGATTATCTTAAAAAAAAAATTCAATTTTGTACATCAGTGTAAGATTTAAGATTTAGGAATATGTTAACAGCATCCAAAAAGAAAAGTTAAAGTTCGTTATTGAATGCCGATGCTCTATGAATAGGAGTATAAGTCTATTTTTCTATTGTTTTTTAAATTCATACGATACTATATGCTATGATGATTTTTTGAAAATGTATTATAAATCTCGTGGAGTTTCATATTACATGTTATTGCCATAATCAAGCGAAACAACCATTTAATCTTATTCTAAATCTAAATTTGTTGCGACTCTAAACCCCCTAGAAACGTAAATAATCAAGTTTGCACTTTTTTCTTACCAGTATTACAATTGATATCGAAAAGCCTTCTTAAATCTGGTCTAAGCGACTTAGTTAGCAAGATATGTAGCATAATTATGAAAATAAGCGATACATAATATGTAATAGATATATATTAAAGTGAAATATTTTTGGTTGGAACAGCGATTTCTTATACTAAATCATTATCATTTTCTATTTTAAAAGGGTAAAAATTCTGATATATATCCCAATGCACTTTCAATGTATCTCCTGAAAGAAGGAAAGTGGAAAATTCCGAAAGATGTTGTCAAAGGTTTTTTCAACCTTCGCTCCATAGAGTATATATGTGAGAAGGTAATATGTGAGAAGGTAGTTCATTTTCAGTTTTAATTTTCAATTAATTTGCAAATCGCTGTAAAATATGACAAGATGTCGTCAATTCTTCAAACAGAAATTAGAGGACGAATTTAAGGTTGGTCTTTGGCAAGATTTATCGATGAAGACAAATGGAGCATACATTCCTCCTTCATGGAATGAGAAAGGTAAAACTCTATAAACAGCAAATCATTATATTGAATATACTTATGATAAAATCTGTGAGGTGAAATCTGTTTCCCGTGTAAATTCCTATTTTTGTCGTTGCCCGCGTGTCGCAGTGGTTAGAGCGTCTGGAAGGAGTTTAATCCTTACGTCGCGGGTTCGAAATACCAATGTGGGACGTAGAGACCCGTCCTTCGTATGAGACCGTATAAACCGAGGTCCAGTGTCACAGTAGGTGCTGGCATGAAAAAAGAGCCCTCACTGCTCAAAGGCCCTGATTGCCGAGTAAAGGTCAAAATTTGTAGCTCTCCACCGGAGAACGGTTGTTTCTCTATATGATTCTTTTGAAATAAAATATTATTTGCTGTTAAATAAAAAATCGATTTTAGTATTTTATTTATAAACTGGGACGTTGTGTTTGTAAACCAAAAACGTACAATTAATAAATCCTTTTTCTGTCAGAAATCTACAAAAAATTAATTATAGGTTTGCCATATTCCGATTAAATTTTAGCTTGCCTCGCAGCGCAGTTTTTAACTTGGTTATGCCTTTGCAATATTGAAATGTATAGATGACCTTTAAACTGCAAGTATATTTACTAAAGTGATGTGACTTCGACATCAAATGACAAGTCTAATTATAAATGTGTACGTGAGTCCTAAAAAAAGTCGCCAATCCTAAATGTTTTTTTACTAATGACTGTCACACATCTCTCATATAATGTGTCCTACTTTGAAAAAAAGAATTCACTTTTTAAAAATCCAAATTTGGTAAAATTACGCACTTTGTTTTTTTTTTCAAAATACATGTATTTTAAAAGCGTAAATTGACACATTAACAATGAAAACCTTAAAACACACTTTGAACAAATATGTAAAAAACATAACAAAAATGCTGGACTTATATTTTAGTAATAAACAGCTTTTCTTCTTAGTATATCATACTTTTAAATAATTATCAAAAAACTATAACAAGACCATAAAAATGCGGGAAAATGATTTCTACCAAGTTTTTTTTTTCTGACGATTACTTAAATGAGTCAAACACTGTTTTGATTATGTTCGCAAAAGACTAATAGATGAATATAATCGATTGAAATATACAGCTTAAAAAGGGGTAGAAAGAAAGAATTGTCATGGTATTAAAAAATAATAATTGCTCTATTTTCCCTCAGCATAATGCGATGGTTTAAGTTTAAGGCTTTCACATCTTTACCTCAGATTCTAAGGTGTCGTTATCACGGAAAATGTATCCAGCAATATTTAAATAATTATTCATCATTCCTAATATGTGTAAAATTATTGTCCGGGAAAAGCACAATTTTCAAAGTGCGGTAATATGATCGGTATTATGGCGTTTTGTTTTTGCCCCAAATTTAAGGCACTTTGAAAACAAAATCTAAATTTATAATTTTTCAAATCCGTCGTAAAGTCGAAACAATCACTTTGTACAATATGCCTTTTCCGTCTCTTTGAAATTGTCACAAATGCTTGCAATTACCGCTTTCTTGGTGTCATTCTTTATGAAATTGAAAATTACTATAAAAAGCCTTAATTTTTAAAAATAACCTTTTATAGAAATATCACATAGAGAGGGAGGTTTTCTTTGCCCTTAAATAATAGAAACTACTTCAAATTTAATGACTGACACATAGTAACCACATTGGATTTTAAAGCAAAAATGAGTGGAACCAAACAAATTGGCAAAGGGTCGAAATTCAACACAAAATCTGCTTTCAGGAAAAGGAGGCAAATAGTTATCCTTTCATGTTCAAACGCACATGATTACAAAAAATGGAATATTCGATACATTTTAATAAATGGAAAATTAGAGATTGCATCACAGATTTAAAACTTGACATATTGGCAGCCTTTAAAATGAAAATAACCCTTGGTGCAATCAAAGTCTTATAGATATTAAACTTTGAATTTTGTTTTCCCATGATAAGTAGATGACTCTTTTTTCACTTTCGTTACAGATGTTCTATATATAAAATTGATCTTTTTTTTCTTGTTTGGGATACAAAACAAAATTTCTTTTTTCCTTTCACAGATTCCCAGCATGGCGAATTAAGTGTCAAAAGAATATCTGAACTATACGGATTGATCTTTCACGCCCTCCTTCGCAAGAATTTTCACGATGGTGCCAAACAACTGATAGAGACAGGAGGGGTAAGAGAAGATTTTATATGCAAGTTGCAGTAGAAACAATATCCTGTCTTTGGGGTAGTAAATTCTTGAATTTTTAAAACTTTTAATTTTGTAAATTGTATCTAATAGAAACCAATTGCTTCTTCGTGATTTCTTCAACAGGTAAGAATTCGTCATATTTTGGTTGGATGTGCAATTCTAAAGGAATCAGAAGAAGATTGGCGAACAACACAGCTAGAGGAAGAAAGGATGAAACAACTTCAAAAGTACAAGTTTCAAATTAGAACATTGTAAATTCATTAAAATACACATCTGCCTGTCATTGATAACCAAAAGTATGCCAATGTCTTAGGCAAACTTTTAAATTATTTGTAGCTATATTTCCTCTACTTTTATATTGAGGTTTAACATATTTATAACGGTTTACTCTTTCCTGGACGTGGTTTGACTGTTTTGATTTTATAAATATTACATTGTTGCACGTTTATCATATAAGATTAAAATAATCATTTTCTGACTCAATTAACGATGAAGAAGAATGATGAACTTATTCTAGGCAGATAAACTCACATTTTTACTAGTTACGAAATTTCCCGAATATATAATTTTTCTAATTTAACGAATAAAGATAATTGCACGTAGATTTAGAATAAATATATAAAAGATTAATTAATAGTTTTAATACAAAACATTTTTCCACATTTACTTTTAAGGATGTTTACTTATCAAGCATTACGAAGCATCCGTTGCATGCATGAAACTGACAATACCTCTATTAAGAAAAAGAGAAATAGTGGTGAAAACCATGCAGAAAAAGAATTGGGAGAACAGATTCAACATGCAGGACGGTTATTGCTGAATCATGGGTGCCTCACAGATGCCATTAAAACAAGGAATAAAGCATTCTTAGAAAATAAAATTGTCAAAAATATATTGAAACAGATGTGGTATGGGAAGAAAAAATTATCATTTAGTCAGGTATGTTACTTCAAATAATCAAATATACATGCATTATATATAGCCTTCAAATCACTATTTGTAAACACTTTTGTTCATATAGAATTACCTTCATTAAATAATTCCATGACACTACTAAGGGTTCTCCATGAGCTGTTTTACTCTGTTGGTCCCGACACAGTAAACATTTCTCCGACACAGTAACGTTTTCAATTTTATTTGACACAGTAAAATTTTGCCAACGCAGTAAGATTTGTGATAATCAGAAAAGCCAAACAAATGAATTCTCTCTAACTGAAACTTTATTTAAAAAATTAACCGTCTTTTAATTCTAAAAAGTAGAGCACGTGATTAGGGTTCCCCCTTGCAAAATCAATTATCTCCTAGACCCTCACGGACTTTACGAATGATGGAACAAAGACATATAATTTGTTATCAAACTTCCATGTAACGGTTTAATTGGTAGATCCATATACAACATGTAAATAGTTTTTTTAACTAATTAAATTTGCCTTTTATATAGAGCCACGGCTCTGGAATTATATTGGCACCGGAAGCCAAGCTTTACATCATACCGAAATTATTTAATTGATGTTATCTGAAGTATTATTTTTTTTTTGTAATTCGGATAATTCGATCAAGAAAACTGACAAAATATCACGGAAAAAATTACTTTTAAAATGAAGTTTTTCGTCTGTATCGAAGAGAATTTTCTTTGCTTTTCAGAATATGTAGTTTTACTTTTGTCAATATATAGGTCCATACCATTTGTGTAATGAATTGATTTTTTTTAGTAATTATAATTTATAGTGGTTCAGTTGCGAATTTGATAGCGAAAAACCGATAAAATTAAGTGCTTTGCTTAAACTTTGCAACACAGTAAAATGTCAAAAATGGACAAACCTGACTACTGTAAGTAATACATGAAATATTTGATTATACAGATTATACTATAAATTATCTGCATCTATCGAATTTTCAGTATTCTTTATTTCTGATGTTGACCCTGCTGCACATAATACTACTGCCACTTCTGATGATAAACATGGAGCACAAACCATTGCGCTGGTATGTAACATTCAATTTTTAGATATAACATCTTAAAGAAAGTTCGAGTTTTAATGATCAAAGAAAGATATAAACAAAATAAATTTAACAATATACAAATACAGTGTTTTGATCAGTTTATCTTTATAGCAATTTAAAACCTACAGAAAATTAAACAAACTGTTCTCTAGAATCGTTCTAAATATAATAATGGAACTTTGACTACAAATAGTCTTAAAATTATCATTTGTTGCATCAGCTTATACGAAAATATCTAAAACATTCATGTATATTTAGTTCCAAATACGTGATAAGTAATTATGAGTTTTATTATCTGATTTTGTCTTTAAAAATCGAGTCAATATCGATTTCAACTTTTTTCAAAGGAATTTTAAGTCAATATACCTTTTAAATCTTAAAGTAGAAACAATCAATATGCGGTTCTATACTTTATCAATGATCCGTTAAAGTCAATGGGAAAGCTCGAAAAAACAAGGAAAAATATCTTTTAAATTATTTAATAAACTCAGAAAAAAAATTCTTGTTTTCAATAGGTTGTATAAACATTACAAGCTTCCAGCTGTGAAAGTTCACTTACATCTGGTAAGAACAATTTAGAGAATTTCATGCAAATGTCTTTATAGTTTGTATAGTAAGGAAGGTTAGGTCCATTATGTTAGTAAAATGTATGAGAAAAATAATTATTATTTTTATAAAAATGAAGGATAAATTCCACAAGAAATAAATTTTGCTGATCACTGTAACAAATCCAAATGAAGCTCAGTAAGGAATAATTATTTGCATTTATATTCACATTCCATAAGGTCGGATTCTTCGCTTTACTGACAGGATATGCTTACATGCTTTTGTTCGATTTTAATGAACATGGCTTATCGGTATCAGATAAAGTCATTATACCTTGGATAATCAGCCTTTTCTTGGATGAAATAAAACAGGTACGATTTTTTCAGTTTAATTCTTTTATAAATATTAAGTTTAAGTGAGTGCTAATTTTCTTTATCAATAAAAAGTAGTTGCAGAAAAGTGTTAAGAAAACCCAATGCACATGTTTTTATAATAATATGTAAATGAATCATTTATCAAAGTAATTATGTTTCTAAAATAAAAAAAAAACACTCAAAGAAAGATGGCTAAAAGAGAAAAAAAAATCACTACATGCAGATCTTCAAACGAGAACTCATGGCGATTATAAGATATCATGCATTAGTATAGCATATGGATGCAATAAGACCTGCAGTTAAAACTATAAAACTTTTATTAAATTCTCTGCATACACCTCCGAGGTTATATCAGCATTTAATTGCACAAAAATATCGATGACTAGGATGTTAGAATAAATGTATTTGCATAATTAGAATTCTGGCATTCTAGCTAAAATATTTACTCTATATAATCTGATTTTTTTAAAAATGAATATTGTTTAGCTTTTTTTTTAGCAAAATTTTATTTTTTTTAATACTTTTGAAACCAAATATGAATTAATTTTATCAAAATTTCTATATTTGAATATTTTTATAGGTAACAATAGCTTCTCATCGGAAAAAGTTTCGGTCCTATATAAAAGACAAATGGAACATACTTGACTGGTTGTCAATGGGAACATATATATGTGGTATGCTTCTAAAAATCGGAGAGGGGCTTGCTTATGCCAATGCCTCAAGGATTGTTTTGGTATTGGCATTTACAATGCTGTGCGTCCGTGTTTTGAACCTGTTCTGCATATCAAAACTTTTAGGACCGCAACTAGTGATGATACAAAAAATGGTGAGTAAAAACTTTTAAAAATCGGACAATCAGTTTTGTGCTTGCCAAAAAGAATATAATTGTACAGTTTACAACTTGAATGAAGAAAAAAAATCCTCATTATTTACAACAGCTACATGGAATATGTGGAAAAACAAAATTGGATGTATGAGGGTTTTCCAAAAGAATCTACTGCACAATTGTTTTATAATAACAACCCTATAATATGTAGCACTATTGTAGTTTTACAGTGACCATAGTTAGATAAATATATTTAAATCAGAGCAGTGAGCAAAATTTTATGAATGTAATTAGCATAAATACTTTTTGCATACAAGACACGTGGCCTTGTTTGAAGTTAAGCTATATTTAGAAAAAATATATTGAATACAGGATTATACAGATTATTTACATGCACATCACAGAAGAGTGATATTACACTTCTTTAAACTTCTGCAAAATTGTACAGACTGTCGGATAACTGTTTTCTCTACATGAATATCACTGAAGTGGAAATTCCTCAGTGAATCAATATTCCGCAGACTTACACAAAATTACTAGATTACACGCTTCATTGACAGACTTCCTTACCTTTATGGGCATTTTATGGATATTTTTTCGCCATTTTTGTCTTGATATTTCCTATATTTGTAACTGATTCTAAGGACAGCACAAAATGATGTTAGCTTTTAAAGTAACATAATGGTAAAATTTCATTAAGTTTTGACTTGAAAAAGAAATCATTTTAGTTTTGACTTTAAAATAAATTTAATCTTTGCCAAAACAAGTACGCACAAACCATATTTTTCCATGGCCATTTGACCTTCCGAAACTATATATTACTACAATTTCCTTTTCATCCAATGTAAGTTCTAACCGTTAAAAATACGATTTCAACTTGTTTGGAGCAAAGGTTTTGGTATACAATATGTATCTCCAAACCATTTAGAAAATTAACTATTCTGTTGATATATACTAATACTATAGGTGCTAGACGTCTGTTAATGTACCATATCTTCAAACATTAATTTTAATAGTGACTAGCTGTATGGTGCTACATTTAGATCACGGACTTTATACCTTGATTTCGTGCATGTCTATAAGTCTAAAGTTCAACCTACAAAATCTATAATTTCGTATAGACAAAAGTACATGTACATATATGTCATTCATTTATTAAGAGTTGAAACGTAGTTAAAATGGAAAATGAAGGCCATTTAATAATGCACAATTGCCCTTTCCCTAACGGTCATACCATCACTAGATTTTGTATGGATATTCATATCCATAAAGCTAACAGAAACTCAAGTAATCAAAGTTAGCACAAATATCCGTCGTACAAAATAAAAACATACATTTTATTTACTTTCCTGTAGAAAAATGTAACTCAGACATCCCTTTAAAGACACGCTTATAGAGTATAATGCATGCGTAACAATGTTTTTGAGTAACAAACCATTACAAAATTTATTAAATTCATGGTGGGACCTAATCGGTCACTCATTGAAAAATATAATTGTGGTTTTTTTTTCTTTTACTCCTGCATATTTATTAAAATGGGTTAATAACATTATGATGATAGAATTTTCGACAAAATATACCTGTATATTTCTGTTACATGAGAGTCCGTTCCAGATCCAGTCAGTTGCTTATAACATGTGAAATAAATGATGCTCTGGTGACTCTAAAGGCCTGTGGGTCTCTTGCTCAATCACACAAGTGTTTTAAGTATGTTTAGTTTTGTAGTTTCTCTAGTTTTTAGATACCTTTGCGTTCATGGCAATTATGACATTGATAACAATTTGCTACAACGTTTCATATCATACCATTCTGTATGCCAAGAACACGGACTTCAGCTACGAACAACTAGAAAACATTAATTGGAAGGGATACTGGATGCTCTTCGGGGAGCTAGATTTAGAAACTGATAAATGTAAGCCTTTAACGTTACACGGATTACCATCTGCTTTTATTTAATATTAAGCCAAAACCATATGATGCTCATTCTGACATCGCTTAATATTTTGTTAAACACTTTTAACTCATAAAATCTCAAGGAGGTATGTTTAATTTTCTTTAATATATATACTGTCTATTAATCTAAAATATATGTTTAACATCTTTTTGTACGTCATATAGTTATGTATCTAAATTCCAATAAATTTAAGGCAAAATTTCTTAATTTAAAAAAAATTCTAATAAAAGAAGATGGGCGCATTTGGCGAGTAATCTGCAGGAATCATTTGTACGAAACATTTTTGGTTTAAATGTCCATGATTTGGTTGGCTGAACATAGCTGGTCAGATTTTTCAAGCACGTCCATTAGTTTTTTTTCATTTAATTTGAAAGACCGTGTGAAATTGTAACATTTATGTCCGTTTTTCCTTGGACTATGCTATTAATTACTCTTACAGACGTCATATAGTTATGAAATTTCACAGAAATATGTATCCTAGCCATTCCACTAAATTTTGGGCAAAATTTCTTAATTTTAAAAAAAAATCTAATAAAAATATTGGTATATTGATATCGCTGATGGAGAGGTACGGAGCACGACAAGAAAATTGAAGCAAAACCACGCGGAATCCAAAATTTTGCTTATCAATTTTCTATAATTCGAGATATTTTTCGACAATTTTTTTTCAAATGTATCTTCAAATTCTTCTATTAATATGCATTTAGATTTCTAGCGTGATATTTGAAGTACTAACAGAAATATAGTGATTTCTCTCTTATGCGATTCCCGTGAAAACGACTGTTAAAATGACGTGTCTTGAATTA